AAAAAAAAAATTATATTGGCATGGCCTAATGTGTTTGAAAAAGTGTGAAGCTGAAATTTTTCTCTGTATGTTAGGATTATTTTCAAGTGTATCTAACATCGATTACAAGTTTGTATTCAACTCAGTATTACCCAAAATTATCCTATATACCTATGAGCTAACATACAACACATTTGTGAGAGAAAAAAAAGCTCAGAAATCTATTAATTTCAAAATCTAACCCTGAAATGTAGTCCCTTTTCAGGTTTGTGTAAGTTACTTTTTACCTAGAATTTCCAGAACTAGTTGAGTTCATCTGACTCAATGCTGGATTTTGGGACTGAAACGTCACCTAAGAAAAGGTCAAAAGGTTAAAAGGTGCCCCAAAAAGCCCAGGCCCGGAAAAGCAGGCGATAGTAGCCAAGCAACCAGTCATAAAATTAGAACTAATGACGTCCAAGTAGTCCCGTAAAGTCTTACAATCTACAAATGTGTCGACCCAGAAAAGTGGGCCTGGATAACATTGACGTGAACGCCATTCTGTCTTTGTCATTGTTTCATATAGTCGTGGATCATATCTGGACAGTGTAAATAGTCTCAATGGCAGTGTACACAGTAACGCGGGGATGTGGATTCCATAGAAATGCATTTGATTCCTATCTGCACCTTTGTGTACCCAATGAGATAAAACTTAAACTGCCATAAATAATCAGGCAGTGTTACATGTACATGCTTTGTACAGGTAATTGAATTTAGAGGAGCAACTGTGCTACATGTTACCTGTTAGTGTAGTAAAGTTTTTGCTTTGGTGACTTACAAGGAAAAGTATGTAAATATGATTATAGTGTAGACGTATGGGCCAGCACAAAGAGTATAATCCATCTTATGAGTTTTCAAACAATCTCAATGTAATTTTAGTTAATTGTGTTATTTTTAAACGTTGTCCAGCTAGCATTTAGGTCACTCAAAGCAATGCACGAAGTAACAGTCAAACATAAAGAAGGGCCTGCATGGGGGGTCCGGACAACGCTCTACGCTAAATTTTGAGAGCCGGCTACGTATTACGCTGAATTCAGGAAGCCTCTTGATTACGTTTTACAATAAATTCTGGGTAGCTGCAACGCATTACGTAGAATCGAAATGGCAAATTACGCCTACGCAAAAAAAAAATTACGCTCTACGTTAAATTAGAACGGTCCGTCTACGCTGTACGTGGAATTAAAACGGTCGATTGCGCTCTACGGAAAAGTGCATGCGGGCCCCCATAAAGGTGAAGGACATGCTTTATTTGATTGTTTCCTTTTTTTTTTAGGTCATACCTTTTATGGTAGGACAGTTTATTGCTTTACACATGGTGAAAGCATTGGACTTTGTTGCCAGCGTGTATTGATAAAGATTACATAGGGTTATAATACCATTTGTCACACTAGACTTTCAGCAAGTTGTAAAGGATCATTTTTTTGGACACGGAAAGATAAAAGTAGAAGAGGCACACAAACCTATTGTTGGATTATCCTAAGGTAAGCGAAACAACTAAAGATTAGCCGTTGTTACGTCTTGAGTAATTGTACCTGGACTATTGTACCGGAACTGCGTCGTAAAACCGCCAAGTCATGTGTGATAAATTGGGCAAACTGACCAATAACTTCTGTATGTGTGAGGAAGAATTAGCACCAAATGATGTTTGACCTGCGAAAAAAGTGGTTGAAAGGAATGCGGGGAGTTTTTGTTTGGTGGGTTCGGTGGCCTTTTGAAAAGTTCATTTCAGGGGGATCATAGGTCAGAGTTTATTAGAGCTTTAGCGAGCCAGCTTGTTGTAATGGGTTAGGACAAAGAACCCAGAAGATTTGAACACTTAGGCCATGTTGATTTGATTATATGGATGACATCCGCGCGCGCATGAATTTTCGGCCGTTTCCAAAAAAAAAAAAGTTTTCAACCATACTGTTAATCGTGCAAAAACAGTTGCTAAATGAGCAAAAATATACCATAAGTTGCAAGGAAAACATTTAGAAACGATACCAATGTCGTAGAATGCCAAAATCAAAGGAAAAAAGACAAAAATGTAAAGAAATGAATTCGAAGACTAGATTATTCGCCATAACATATTATGTGCCATTTGTTCAACCTTCATGACCACGTAGATTTCATAGTGAAAGCAACTTTTTTTTTTTGTCAAAACTTTTTTTTATTCGCACGCGCGCATCAGTTTTGGGGTTCCCAGAGGATGTCATCCATAAAATCAAATCAACATGGCCTTACAAAAAGTTACTGAGAACAAGATACATACTGAAGACAGGGCTCGAAATACAATATAATATGCCACCTGTATATGCAAGTAAAATTGGAGCCGTGCGGGTATTTCTGATGTCTACCTGCATCTAACCTGCACTGGTCCATGTACTGGGTATATGCAGGTTAGTGCAGGTAAAATTGGAGCTGTGCAGGTATTTCCTACACTGGTCCTCTGGTCCATGTACTGGGTTTATATATACATGTAGAAGTATATGGATTTTTATTTGCTGCATTAAATGTTACCACTATAGTATGATTATGAAGAAAGAATGGCAATGTTTTTAACCATTTTTACTACCGGTATACAGTCAAACCTGTACTAGCGGTCACCTTTGTATAGTGGTCACTCGGCCATAGCGGTCAGTTTTTGCCGGTCCCTTGAATTTTTCCCATTGACGTAAGCATTAAGAATCGTGTCTATAGCGGTCACTGTTCAACGCGGTCAGCGGTCACCCCATTCCGGTCCCGCCGGCATGTCAACACCGCCGATAGCGGTCGCGGCTGGCCGTAACCCGCTAAGCACCACGGCCGTAATACCACCCCACCTCGGGCTACGACCGTTATGAGCCTTGTGATAATTTTCCGATCGCTACATCACTAAAATGTGAACTGAAAATTAGACTCCATATGTGTATGAAATAAAGGAAAACTGGCTTTTGACACGAATTTTCTGCGGTCGCGGGTGTCTTTGATATCTGCGTTTTCCCCAACACCACGTGCCGTGCGTGCCGCATGGAGCTTTCAATGGACTCGGCCGCTCGGCGAAGATTACGGCAATTATCTTTACAAAAAAAATTAAGAATATCCATATTTGGTTTCTCGATTCCTTGAAATGCGTAGATATGTGCATAGCTTCCGTTTTTCATGGGCATAATTCAATAAATTTGGCTCGAAAAATGCGTCATCGTATTTTCCAAGATGGCGCATGTTCGCTGCAGAGGGAGGTCAATTGGGGTCATCGGAAGACTCCACTGTTATGGAGGTAGATACATCGAGTTTTATTTAACTTCATTAGCGTCAAATGACGTAATTACATTATGAAAACATTTCTAATACATTACTCCAAGTAAGTTTAGATGTAAATTTAAAACTGTAGTGGATATTTTAGAAAAGATATAAGTCTGAAAGGAGAAAATTTTCTGTTGACTACCACATTGGCATAATGGTAAAGGCAGACAACCCACGCGGGGAGAAACCCAAGCCGTAAACAAAGGAGAGTTCTCGCTACGTTTTCATGTTCAAAAACGACCAAAAACGGAAAGTAACTGGCAACTGACGAACAATTATTTTGCTGTTAACTAAATAGACAGCATCTTGGTACAAAATAAACTTATTTACGTGGTTGGAATTCGCTGTGGCGTATGTCGGTCGCGCGAAGCAAGTGTTCACCAAAGAACAAAAACATGGCGATGTCGTTCTCTTCCACTTTTCGACTAACAACAACAACTAGTACTAGTAACGTGGCGATTGCGGAGAAACGATGGCAAACGCGGAGAGACAGACGCCGAACTTATTCCAAAAGGTGGAAGTGATCGGACTGGCAGGGAGAGTGTGGAGAAATCGTCGAAAGCTGAGCTTAGATTAAATGATTTTGCAGTCGATAGAAATTTGTTTGGAGTTGAAAGTTTGTTGCTTGATTTGCTTTCTTTTCTTTAGCCACATGTAGTACTAGTATGTACACTAAGAACAGTAAATGACAGCCAGTGATTTTGTTTTAATGTGAATGGTTTCATTGTCCCGGAATAGATGAACTGAATATGTTGAGTGTATGTATCTTTGATGTCAAGTTAATGTTTCCATGCAAATTATATTTCTGTATTTCTTTTTTTTAAGCAAGTACAAAATAAAGTGCAACTAAAACAAAAGAACAACAAATTATTGAACTAAGACATGTACATATAAAAGGGGTTTACCTTTGCAAATGTATGTATTCATATGTTTCAGAATAAAGACATCACTGTTGGTACTCAAAGCATGTGTCCCGTTTTTTTGGGGGGGGGGGTCAACTAACCGGCTGTTTCTCTATAGTGGTCACCTGGCCATAGTGGTCAAATTTGGCCAGTCCCTTGAGTGACCACTATAGGCAGGTTTGACTGTAATCCATACATACTTTTCACCATATAATTTTCAGTGTTAACCTCACTGGTGCAGGTATGCAGAAACATTTTGTAGCTCTGGCATGGTTTCCATCTTTCAGCAAGTTTGCAGGAGTATGGTGGAGGAATGCTCCATAATGAGGGGCAGGGTCCCAGCTAGGATTACTGGGTGCCATATGGGCCTGCACATAAATCTGTTCATATGTCCAGTCAACTGTCATGTTGTCATTCTTTACAAACCTGAT